CAATGAAGAAAATTTTAATACCCGGGAAAGTAGCCATTTTGAAAATGCATCCCTCTGCAAAATGGCTCAAATGGTGCCACTTTCGGACCTGATTGCATTCGAATTGCTCAGAATTGGAAGCCCTCAGTCCGGCCCACATTAAGGTTCAGTGTCATTTTTCTTCAGTTCCCCAGTTCCATGGCTCTCAGGACCCTCTAATATAGAATATTTTGAGTGTTTAATTTTATTTATGAGCTCGGTGGACATATTTCTAGCCTAAATACGAGGGTGCACCCTCAAGGGTCCGGTATCGCCCAATGTCACGTGACCAGGACTGGAGGAATTCCAGTTTTCCGGAAACAGCCGAAATATTCCGAATTCGTCCCGTCTACATTCTGCATGTTTTGATGGTACCGTTGATGTTCGGTTATTCCCGGTCGGGTATATGGGCTTGTTGAACGAGTAAACCATGACAATCATGCATTGGCATTTAACAACAAAGTTACAAACAGCTCACTTATTGATGGGTGTGTCCGTGGAAAGAATGTTGCTGTACAAGAATTGATCAACTAAAAGAATTTCAAAATGCTTATGTATGATTTTGAATTTTCTGAGATTTTTTCAAGTTCGCCTCATTACTATAATGAACACTCAGCTGAATTGGAGCCCACCACGTAAGGGAATGAAATCGAAATCATTTTGGCTTTCAACTTGTGACCTCTGAATCAGTTGTTTGTTGATGAAATTATCGGGATAAATTTTTATCCTTGTGATCTTCGAATATTTTGTCGAATAATGTGCAATGCGTGTGACTATCTGCAGGCGTTTTCTAATTTTGGAAGAAATTTCATGACGACGAAATTGTTCACAAAGGTTCAGTCGCATAACATTACGTAATAGGTCCCGGTATTTAACTGGATGAATTCGAACTTTTTAAGCAAAAAGTGTTGGCATGTAGTATGAGGAAAGTCAAAGTCGACGATTTCGACGTTTCCTCGGGCCGGGGAGTAACGTTATATGTTATATCGACGAAAAAAGAACCTAGAATCACATCAACTCAAAAGCCGCATGTCAAGTTATCCTGATCAAAAAACTCTTCTACGAAAATTTGAAGCCTAAAAAGTCTGATATTACCTACCTTTATGTATTTTTGTGTCTTAACTCCTTACTTTCAATCGTCTGATCACTTTGTAGCAGGGAGTGCATACTCAGCGTGTATAATCGCCGCGCCGTGCGTGTGAAGCTAACACAGCCTCGTTTTCAAACGCGGAGTGCGCAGATCGATGCTTAACGCATCGTATTGGGATCCCTCTATTCTATGATTCGTTACCCTTTGTACTCAAGCACTATCGCCATTGCGTTTGCTCACAATTACTGTGTCCCCTTATCCGTAAGTGAGAAGACGCGGGTGTAAAATAAATCACGAAATCTAACTTTACCGCATGGATGAAACAGCATTTTATTTCACAGTCGCTGTGATGTAAATTAAGTGACCTGTCAATAAAATTACCTCTGTCGAAAAGAAGGTCGTCCATTGCTGTCTCGGGCCTGAGAAAACTCTTGGGGCGTTGACGAGAGACAATCAGGGTATTAAAAAGAATAGCAGAAAGCTGTAAGCCTGAGAAGAATTGAGGTATTACCACGTAAAGGGAACAGTTCGAACAGCTTCATGCACTCGAGTCATTGTGCATTTGATATTCTGACCTAACATGGTGTTCGTGTGCATCTAGTATCAAGGGAGCTAAACCCTTGGAACTATTCAAGTTAACCTATGTACCGCACAGGCGCCTTTTGTAATGTAATAAACGACAAAGCAAATATAAGTGGGACCAAACATTTTAGACTACGCTCATTTTGCCTACATTTTACATGGCAGGCCATAGTTTGCATTTCCCCTTGAGTTTAGATTTTACCTCAGGTTCGCTAAAAATGCATACATTTCGCATTCACTATGCAATCTTACGCTTATTATAACGTGGTTTTCTAATAGCTGCGTGGGATTTTTAACAGTTTTTAAATTCTTCTTTTATACTTTTGCACTGTCAGCCCGCTATAGTTTTAGCGGCCACTGGGAAGAAAAACACGACTGTGACGAAAAACAAAATAATGAATAGGGCAAAACGAATACATGAAGGCAGAATGAAACATAAACAGGACAAAACAAAATTATATAGGACGGCAAAAGTATGTGAACAGAAAAACACCACCTGTTATATCAAAAACAAGATATATTATATTACATATCTATCTAATGAATCTAGCTGAAATGCTAGGTTGTAATGGTAAATAAGCAAGTTGCATGTGACATACTGGACGACATACAGTTATATCGTTACAACGTGGTGTAGACCGAAGCACCGTTTGCAAAGAAAACGGCATACCAAAGGGAAGCTGGCCGCATAATCGGCCCGATATTCCAACCTCATAGTCAGCCTTGTATCATCATAATACAGAGGCAAGCAACACAGCAGTTATAACGTTCGTTATCGAAGTCTGCGTGCGCAGACGGTGTCTGATTTCACGCGCTTTAATCATAATATGGGGCGTCCGTTGTTTTGTTAGTGGATTGGCAAGAAATTGAACAAATATAATAAATGAATTTGTGTGAAATCGATAATTCATCAAGCATATTATGTTTCGGTAGCATGTTGGTTAAAATATGTTCGCTTGAAGACAGTTAGTATTGCCAAAATTGATGAATTTCTACTGTAATTCAAGTTTTTTTGGTTATTAAAAGAATATTCATTGAAATCCAGTGAGTGTCCGAATTGACTGCATGTATGGAATCCGTCGGATAAACAGCAATCTGCAAAATGAATTTGAATTTGACCCAAGTTTTCTCGTCAAGTCGTGCTAATACGGACATTTTGTAAAGGATAAATCGGTCACAGATCCAAAACATAATTACTTTTCTGTCGAAATGCATGTAATACCTCTTGCAGTGCAGAGTAAGACCTATTGCTTTGCCGAACGTTTGACAAAAATGAGGGAACCCTTGTACAATGAACCACAATCAAAGGGCTGGGGCACGTTCAATAGAAAAATACGTACACCATGAACTGGCATATACTGTATACTTTTATTGTTAGTGGTAGGCCTATGTGTACGTTGCAAAGTAGGTTGCGGGTCGAAAGCAGTCCTGTCCATGGGTTAACACGAGTGATGTGCACATTGATCTCCATTATAAAGACTGGGTAAAACACAGCGCCCTCTATCTTGTGTACGTATGCGTTTTATCGATGAGGCTCGAGGGTTTGAAAAATTTTAAATGCGGCCGCCACACCTACAGACATATAAACCCACCGGCGAGCGCACGTCATTGAGTTGTCTGGATAAAGAAATGTTGGTCCAATGGATTTTTCCATGAAACATGCAAATTAGACAGGAGCAAGGAGATTTTCGCTTATCCCCATGGAATGGATCCTTTGTCACCCCGTGGATTGGAACATTTCATCTGTCTACTCATCAAAATATTCTCACCACTGCACGAATGCAAAATATTCACTCTTTGATTTCTAGTTATTTAAAATCCCATTGGAGAATAATAATGCTTTTGAGTAAGTACAAAATACACGTTGTTACTAAGTAATTCATAAACTGTCATGAACTTATTCTATAGTGTCTTTAACAATGTACATATATCCAGGTAACTGAGAATTCTAAAAATTCAATTACCAACATCCTACCATTCTACCCTAAGAACATTCAAATAAATTGTTAAAAAGCTAAAAATTACTCAAATTAAACCTTACACCACACTTCATCCGACCACGACAACGTCCAAACATAAATAAAAAA